TGCGGAGCCTGACACAGGGCTCAATCCCAGAACCCTATATCATGACCTGAGCTGAAGTCAGATGCTTAACTGAGCCATTCAGGCACCCCCAGAATCATTTTTCTTACCAAAATCAGGTGTTGGGTTTGCACTTGATAGATGTAAGTGGCCATATCTACTTTTTCAGTGTTTAAAAAAGAAGTTTTAAACAATCTGTAGAAAGAGATTAGGATTTCACCAGACTTTTCTTCCTAGAGTATTTACTGGGGGAATATAATGTATTGTTGCTTATATTAGTAGTGTATCTATTTCTCTCTTTTATCTAAATTCTCTCTTTTGGATGAAGGATTTTGGTAGTCACTAGTTTCTAGAGTCTTTTGAACTAGAAGGGACCACAGAGAACATGGGCCACATCTGCCTTTAGTATGGCAAAACCGAAGGCTATGGCGAAGCCTACCCTTTACCCTTGTGAGGACTCTCAGCCTACCCTGTTCTAGTAGTTTCATCATGGAGTTTTAGTGCTCTGTCAAGCCATTTTTCCTGATATTTAATCATAAGCTCCTTTAATTTGAGCCCATTTTTCATATACTAAGTCATCCATGGTGATAGAAATACGCTAGCATCATCCTTCTCAGACACATTTCTCCAGTTTGCTCTCTTAGCTCTCATTTCTACTATCTAATTCAAATTCTGATTATATCTCATCTAGACTGCAACTGCAGCTTTCTAAAATCTTTGCTACTCTTGTCTTTCCATTCAATATTGCTTCCAAATTCATAGACCTGGAATGTATGTGTCCCTTACCTTTAAAATGCTTTATAGGATAGTGTCCACGCTTGTCATTTCCATGATCTGGACCATATGTTAGGAAGTATGTTCTGTTGAGAATGGCAATAAATCCTAAAATATTAGTAGTTTAAAGGAAAGAAATTTATTTCTATCTCATATAAAAGAAGACTAGAAGTAGGCAGGCCAGGGTTCAGAGGGTAGTTCTACAGTCTTAGCTCATTCTGCTGTGCTGCTCTGCAGAGTAGAAAGCACCCTTGTCCTGTGGCTTCTGGGACCACGATGAGTGCTTGAAGTTCAGCTGTCACATCCACATTACAGCCAACAAGAAGGAAGAAAGAGGGAATGCTGGGCCCCCATCTTTTAAGGACACTTACTGAAAATCACTTAAAACACTTTAACCTGCATTTTATTGGCTAAAACCTAGACATATATGTCACACTTAGTTGCAAGAAAGCCGAAAAAAATGTAGTGTTTTAACTAGTTTACCCAGCTAAAAATTGAAGTCCTTGTTGCCAGGAAAGAAGAGGCTAGATCTTGGGCAGTAACTGGGATATCTGCCATAGGATCTTGCCACCAGCCTTGTTCTTCTCTTCACCCCAGTGCCTTCTCACCCACCCCTTGTACCTTCAGCCCATTAGTGGCTGCAGTGAATCTCATACTGGTCCTTTACCATGTCAGGCCTTTTCACAGCTCTGGGCCTTTATCTGTAGTGCCCTTTCACTTTATCATGTCTCTTACATCTAGACATCTTTTGAGGCCATGTCACTCTGTCTGTACAGTTTTCTTACCTCCTTAACAGTGACAACACGCAGTAATTCCTGGAGCCACATGGCAGTGAAAGAGCTTTCTGAACTTAGTAATGGAACACATTTGGGCTTGAATCCCTTTTCCCCAGCTTGACCTGGAAAGTATAAATATGGAAGGACTCAGCATATGGACCGTGTTTAAAGCCGCAGCCCAGATCTCTCTTTTTGAGTTCCAGACCTTTCTATTGAACTGGTTACTCAGCATCATCATTTGAAGGTTTCATAGGTGGCCTCAAATAGAAACACCTCTGAAAAAGAACTTTTGATTTCCCCCTCCTCCTCTGGACTTTCCTGCACCAGTAATGATGCCTCTATCGACCTGGCTGCACATGTCAGAAAGCTGGAAATAACCCTTCACTTCTTGTAGCTAGTGGTCCTTGAGCTCTCATATTTGATTACCCTCAAAATCAATTGGTTCAACTCCAGAATATCTCTTACATGGATCCTTGCATGTCTGGACCTCTGGGCTCCCTCTCTCAGGCTGCTTAAACCTCACCTCGGGCAGTGTCACTTTCATGCACAAAATCCTTAGGCAGCTTGCCGTTGTATTTAGGTTTCAATTTAGGATGCACCCTAAAAGACCCCAGGTGCCTTGACTCCTGTTACCTCTCATTCTTATCCCTTGCCATGCCCAATCTTATGCTCACTATGCTCTGGCTACCTGGTCTTTCTGTTCCTCATTTGTGCTGAGAACTTCCTACCTCTGCCCCTTCCCAAGTGCCATTTCCCACCTGAGGTCTTCTGTTCCCTTCACCACACCATCCTCAGGTGTCAGATTAAATGTCACTTCTACGCAGGGCCTTTCTCTGACCTCTTAATCTAAATTGTATATTGAGAGAACTCTTCCTCCTTGGGACTTTCCTTCTTAGCCTTCATCACAATTTAATAATTTTATATTTATTGAGTGGTTATTTATTGAATATCACTTGCACATTAAAGTATATGTTCTATAAGGGCTGAAATCACATTTCTTTTATTCACTACTGAATCTTTAATGCCCATTGCTCAATAAATACACATGGAATTAATGAATAAATGAGAATCTCATGATTAAAAGTGTGGTAGATCTCTCATTAAACTGACATCTTTGCTATTAGTGTAGCAAGACATAGTTGTTGGAAACCTGTGAAGGTGATTCACCTTTTTAATCTGGCATTGCGTTTCTTCACATTCATTGAACATGTCTATGATGCTTACCTGCAGGGATATAAACTCAGTTTAATGTATTGGAATGCATTTTCGAACAAAGCTTCGTTTCTGTCAGGTTATTCTTATAAACCCAGAAGCTGAAAAGGTCATGTGCAGGTGTGATATCTGAAAATCACGATTGACTATTGTGTTGCTGCTAGAAACATCGGGGTGCAGGTGTCCCAGCGTTTCATTACATCTGTATCTTTGGGGTAAATCCCCAACAGTGCATTGAGCTGTCTTCCATTGCTAGCCCTCTTTGGATGCAGCTTGGCGTAACCTTTGGAACAGAAGACTTGCTTGTTGTTGGAATGGAATTAAAGCAACAGTCATTTTAAGTTGGAACCATGAGTGACTGTGATGGAAGTTTGTGTGCTCAGGATTTGGGCTGCCTTAGAAAACCCCTCACTACCTTGTATTGGTTGCCAACTCTTGAGACTGAAAGTTCAGACAGCAGATATCTGGGTAGAGTGTCCTGGTTCACAGTTTTTCCAGCTGCCTAACTTTTCCTGAATGATCTTGTTCTATAGAACACATTGGCAAGATACATTGTGGTGCAGATTAAGAACTTGTGTGGGTTTTTTTTTCTCCCCAAGAGTATAAAAGATGTTGTTCTGGAAGCATCTAATGATCTTGGAATCCTGAACTCTAAGGTCTAAGATAAAAGATGAATATCCTCTTTTACTGATGGACAGGCTGATCAACAATGGGAAAGGTTTTGTTTGTTTTTTATTTTTGGAAAACAGAATTCTGCTTTCAGTGGACACTATTCTAGGTATATTTCAGCATAGATGGAAAAGCAAACAGTTGATCATTCTTAAGCCCCAGTAGGTCAGATCATGTCAGTGTTTCCAGAGTTCGCTCAGAATGGTAAAACTTGGCCTTAAGCTGAGCCCTTGCTAAGAGGCGGCCAGTCGTGAAAAGGATTTATTTATTTATTTTGGCCTTGGTCATGTCTAATGATGATAAGTGCAAGTCTCTTAGCTGTCTGGAGTGGGGCCCACATGAATTGGTTGTGACCCCTAGACTCCAGGAACTCCAGTATAGTTGGATAAGAATATTTTGTGGGGGAACTCTAACACATAAAAATACAAGATATTAAATGTTCAAAAGTGTGTCATTTGCTGCATTTGTTCATGAGTGGTTTTAATACTTCTGGTACAGGGCCTGACTCCCTCTTTATTGGGGAGATGTGGTTTCAGTTTCTTGGGTGAATGTGCATTTTATAAGTTTCTTAAGAAAGGAAATTAAACATTAAAAGACTTTAAATACTCTTTATATAATGTCACTAAGAAAAGCCAGGAAAATCAGGGTTAGCTTATTTATTTATTTATTTATTTAATAAATATAATCTATTTTCCACCATTTTGTTTGTTATGGCTGGTACCAAAGTACTTTTAAAAGTTAATGTTTAGGGATCCCTGGGTGGCGCAGTGGTTTAGTGCCTGTCTTTGGCCCAGGGCACGATCCTGGAGACCCGGGATCGAATCCCACGTCGGGCTCCCGGTGCATGGAGCCTGCTTCTCCCTCTGCCTGTGTCTCTGCCTCTCTCTCTCTCTCTCTCTCATTCTGTGTGACTATCATAAATAAATAAAAAAACTAAAAAAAAAAAAAAAAGTTAATGTTTATTTTGATTTCAGCAGATGTGCATAATAAATTAACCTATCTCTATTCTTCATTGTGGGCTGGGGCAGTATTTCACATCTAGTTTGTTTGGCATTTCACACACTAAGCCCATTAGTTCAATTCAGCATAGTTTGATGCTCTCTACTTGTATGACACTTAGCATTTGAATAATGTTAAATAGATCAAATGTGGCCTGCTGAGTGTGAGCATTAATGCAATTTGGTGATGTGATTGACCTTAGCTAAGTCCCTTAACTACTGTGGGCCTGGGTTTCCTTTTCCGCAAAATGAGTAGTTTAGGGTAAAGGATGCTCTGAATTTAAAAATCCCATGAGATGCCTGGATGGCACAGTTGGTTGAGTTGTTAAGTATCTGTCTGATTCTTGGTTTCGGCTCAGGTCATGATCTCATGGGCTCAGCCAGAGTCTACTTAAAGAGTCTTTCCCTCTGCCCCTCTCCCTGCTCATGCTCGCATACTTGCATATGTTGTTCTCTCTCTCTAAAATAAATAAATAAATAAATAAATCTTTTTAAAAAAATCCCATGAATCTGTATGCCTAATACATATGCGTCTAACTGATTCCTCTTCTTTCCTTCTCTCTTCTTAATTTAGGAAAAGAGGATGCTGATGCTCTAGTTACAAAAGATGAAAGCACCTCCACGTCACAGGACACAAGAGCTTCACCAGAGAAGTCGCTGCAAAGATCAGCAAAGGTCATTGCCTACAGATTTTCTGCATTTGTCCAAATGACTGTCACCTGAACTACCTGTCAAAGGTGTCTCATGCAATTCAGTTAGGGCTATAGTTGGTCAGTTAATCAGAAAAGTCAGTGGAAGCAAGGAGTCATAAAAAGCTAATATTTTGTGTAATTTTAAAGATATACATATATGTTGATTTGCCTGTGTTTGGATGAAGGTCCAAAGCCTTTTCTTTGTGTGTGGGTGTGTTTGTTGAAGTTCTACATTATCTTTTTTTGCTTAAACCACACTGGTAATGTGTCATATTTGATTTCCAGTTTGGGTTATGTAAAGTGGAGTGAGGACTTAGGTACTATGTGAAGCAATCTAACATTGACTCCTAGATTCTTGTTTTTTTGCTTCAATTTTTTTTTATTGTCATCATGTCTATATCTAATTCAAAAGTAGGTTTTAAATGTCTTTTTTAGTTTTTTCCAAATATTTAATTTAGTTATTGTAGATACAAAATTGCTTTTGCATCCTATCTATTTATTTGCATAGTTCAATTTTATTTTTCAGTTATATATGCTGGTGGCATATTTGGATAAGGGATCAAACACAGCAGACCCTGGCTATCAAATGGCTCAGGATAGAAGAAGTGGTTCAGTAGGTGGTAATAAGCCTGAGGCTTTCTCCACCAGAGGCATCCTTCAGCATGTTTAACCTGCAGTTGTAGTGTTGCCACACAGTCTAGCACAGTACCTTTTGGATATTGACAAGAATTTCTGAATCGTATTACACATAAGTTGCCCTCAACTGCCTGTCCAGTCATTTTAATGAGCATTTTGAATACTAACCATATAATGTATAGCAGGCAGCATGCTTGGCATGGAAGGTTGTAATGAATGGAAAGCCTGTGGGCTAGAGATGGCTTACAGGCTTGTGTTTTGTGTGACCTGTGCAGCATTTACAAATTTTGACTAAGCAGCTTAAAAAAAAAAAAGTCTCCTGGCTTCTCTTGACAGAACAAACCATCCAGCAACACTAGGCCACATTCTTCAATGACTTGAGTCAGAGCTGAGTACAGACAGCCCTCTGTAGATGGAACTTGTGTTCTACAATTTGCTACTGCACCCCAATGGTCCCCTCTCTCTTGCTGGGTTTGTTTGGGTGTTTTGGATAGTTTCTTAGTAAATTCAATCTAAAATCACAAGGCAAAACAGCACTTGTGTGGTCAAGTCATTATTACTACAACTACTGTATGAATCACAAGTAATGTAAGTTGCTTCATACACTTCTCATGTTGTCAGATAGTAAAAAAATAAGCAAGGACTTCTAGATCAGACAAGATGGCATAGACTCGTTTCTCCTTCTTCTTTCCTACTAGAAAACTATAAACTCTGAAAATAACAAGGCAACCATAGGAGAATTCTGAAAGGTGAAGAGAGGAAGACAAGCTAGTTAGAGACTTGAGAGCAAGAGGAACAACATAGCAGCAGAGGACTTTACAACCCCTCCACCAACAGAAGAGGACCAGGCCCAGTGTTTCTTTATCTAACCTAGCAATAGAAAGGGGCCCAGGCAGACTTGCTCCTCAGTCAGATCTAGCGGGGTCCCTCTGACAACACCAGGCACTCCTGGCAGTACCTACAAGAATTAACTGGGAACCTTGCTGACAATTATAAGTGGTTAGGAGAAGGGCTCCCCTTTCCTGCCACAACTGAGGTTTCTCTCCCCCATCAAGAGACACCAGGCATCTGGTGGCTCTGGCAGTTGGGATTCCTGCCAAAGAAGTGACCTAGCCCCAGAAGTTTCTTTGTCCCCATGGGCCTGAGATTTCTCTTCTCCCCCTTCTGCACCCCCACAGAGGTAGTAGATGGCTAGGGAATCCCAGTAAGGAGGATCCTATCACAGCAGATGTGTGGTTCAGAAAATTTAATCTCATGAGTCTGAGACACTATTTTCCCACCCAGAGACAGTGGGTCATCAGGTGGCACCAGGGTCCTACCACAACAAAAAACCTTAAATGGGAAGTTTCTTTGTCCCTGCATGGACATGGATAAGAATCTGTTCCTAATCAATACTAGAGAGACTAGGTGGCCAGCCCTGAAGAAGTTCTTGTCACCCCTTTAGGCAATATGGGCAGAGACCAGTGGGAGCCCCAGTGGTTCCATGTTAACTAAACATCAGAATAGTACTTCAAAGTCTCTGCAAATTAATTTGTCATTGGGACTACAGCCCACAAAATAGTTCAGGATCTCTATGCTAAACCAAGGCAGGATGACCTGCCTTCTAAAATAAAAGATTTCAGTAAGACCTTGAATCTCTAACATAATAGCCAAAGGTCCAGGATGTGATAGAAAATCATTTTTTATTACTAAGAACCAAGACATTGTCACTTGAGTGAGGAGAGGCAACTAACCGATGCTGACACCAATGTGTTGCAGTTATCTGACAGTGATTTTAAATCAGCCATCATAAATATGCTTCAACAAGCAATTACAAATTCTCTCAAAACAAATAAGTAGATAGAAAATCTCACCAAAGAAATAGAAATTATAAAAAAAGAACCACGTTGGAAATTTGAACAAAAAATACAATAACAGAAATAAAATACTTTCAGGATGGGCTCAGTAGTAGGTAGAGGTGACTCAGCATAGGATTACCTAACTCGAAAACATGTCAGTAGAATTTATCCAATCTGAACAGAGAGAAAATAGGCTGGAAAAAGTTAACAGAGTTTCAGGAAGTTGTGGGGCAATAAAATGGATTCAACATTCAGATAATTGGAGTCCTAGAAGGAGAGGATCATCAAGAGAGTGGGCTTATAGATGGTGCTGACTGGAACAGGTTAAAAAATACTGTAGAGATTTTGAGATTGGAGCAACAATTGTATAACACAAATCTGTAATGGTGTCCATATGCATCATTGTAATTCTCTTCTGATGGACTCCATAGTTTGTGTTTGATGTTGGAGAATAGCAGTGGCTGAACTGTCCTGGAATTGAGGATTTTTTAGGGTGGGTGTGGTGGAAGGCCAACAGAGGTGAGGCATTTGATGATGGAGGTGAGAAAACTAGAAGCGATGGAACATGATGTCCCTTGGAGGTAGGAAAGGATTCAAGCATTAGAAATAGCAAACAGACACAGAGAGCAGGCTGAGGTCAAGGCACTAGTAATCTTGATGTGGTGAAGAAGCCATGGAGGGGGGCACAGGAGAGTAAGGGAGCTGGATGACAGGTTAGTCTGAGATGATAAGATTTGGACCAGACCCAGAAGATGCTGAGGGGTAACCATGAGGATGAGTTGCTGAAATGGAATGGAAGTGAAGGCCACCAGCATTGAAGGGATACTAGGACTATAAGGGCAAAATATTGGCTGAGTCATTCGCCTGGAGATGTAAGCCAGTTACTGTAGAGCAGCTAGGAGGTCCATGGATGACAGTAACAAGAAAGGGATAGCCTGAACCATGGAAGGACACAGACCCATGCATGAGGCAAGAAGAGTAAATGGTCTGAATGTGACCATATAGCACAGGAAAACATGGATGTCTCATTCAGGGGCTGTGTATGAAGAAGGAGCAGTCTCTGTGCAAAGGGCCTGGGATAGACAAGCATATGTGAGGACAAGATTAAGGATTCCTGACAGAGGAGACAGCAGCTTGTTCAAAACAGAGTGGTGTTTTTCAAAGAAGAAGGAAGAGTTAGGAGAACATAGAGCCTATCATGGGACTGAGATTTGATGAGAGGACAGGTGTCCAATGGAGCAGCAGCCAGGTGCCCCTGGGGCAGAGGAGAGGCATGCTGACTGGTTGGAGATTCTTGCTAGACAGGCTGAAGCCCCACATGGAGTCAGAGACATGAACAAGAGTGGTAGCCAGATCACCAGCAGTCTAAGCCTTGGCTCGGGTCAGAGTGGAATGCGGCAAGTAATTCCAGGGAAGAGACCAAAGTGCAGACGGTCTGCAGTGGGAAAAGGAAACAGTTCAGAAAGGACTTTCCAGGGTGAGTGAGGGGATTCACTTTCTTTAGGAATGCTTCTCTTTTGGTAGAGGTAGTATGTCCTTGTAGTGGTGTGGCAGCCTGAATCTTTGCCTGGTGAAATGAAAGAGTGGATTTAATGTTGGAAAGAAGGAAGGTGAAAAGGTTTCCAGCCTTTTTGTTTTTGGTTTTTGAGAGGGGGAGACAGAATCTTAGGCAGGCTCCACGCCCAGCTCAGAGCCTGCCACAGGGCTGGATCTCATAACCCTGAGATCGTGACCTGAGCTGAAATCAAGGGTCAGGTGCCTAACTGACTGAGTCACCCAGGCACCCTGGTTTCCAGGTTTTAAAGGCTTAATAAAGACCAATTCCTTATTTATTTTTAATAACATTTTTAAAAAGCAACTACTCTGTTGTTCATGTCAGAAAAATGTAATGCAGAGCAAATTCTTAGGACCATACATCCCTGCTGGAGTCTTAGATACATCCTTAAGACATAGGTCTTGGTTATATAAGCACTTTCATCTGATTCATCCATGTATTGCATGGTTTTCTCTGCATAAATATGCTCCCTGGATACTTAAGTTGTTACAACTTAAATATGTGTTTAGTCACAGAGCATCATGAGAGGCACTTCATTGGGACCTAGACAAACTGCTGGGCTCAGCTAGTTGACCAGATAATATCTTGCTGACTTCTTCTGTTATTCAGTCCTATAGGTAAACAACCTTTGACTATATCTTTGGTGTTTTCAGGTGGTTTACATCTCGGAGAAAAAACATTCCCGAGCAGCAACTGGCTTTCTCAAACTCTTGGCTGATAAGAACAGTGAACTGTTTAGGAAATATGCCCTGTTTTCTCCCTCGGACCACCGAGTGCCTAGAATTTATGTGCCTCTCAAGGACTGTCCCCAGGATTTTGTGACTCGGCCTAAAGATTATGCCAACACACTCTTCATCTGCCGCATCGTGGACTGGAAGGAGGACAGCAATTTTGCCCTGGGGTAGGTGATCTTTAGTAAGAAAAACCACAGAGCCTTGTCAGAACTCAGTTTAGGTGGCCTTTTGGTAAACTCTTTTATGTATTTTAGTTATTATTTCTTTATTTAAAACATGAGTACTTGGCATATTTGGGTCATGGTTTTTCAGAAATTGCTATTATCTACCACCTGGACTGGTCACCTGTCGGTTCCTTGAATCGCCAGGCAGTCACCTTTTTTTGTTTGTTTTTGGTTTGGGGCATAAAACAAGCAAACAAGCACATCCTGAGTCTCTACTTATTTCCCATTATGTCATGAACCCTGTTTGTAGTTATGAACTGCAAAGAATTTGTTGTATCAAACAATCAGACTCCTCCTTTCAGATGCTAGTGTTAAAATATGCAAAATTCCAGGCATTTCAGGGGACCCCAGTCTTCCGTGCTTTAAAATACAAATATGAGGCAGCACGGTGGAGACAGCTGAGTGGTGGAGGTCAACAGGTTAGGGGTGCATGGGGCCCCCTTGCAGACCAGCTGGTGTTGCAAAAAGCAGATTCTTGATCTAGAGGAGGAGGCTTTGTGGCCTGAGCTGCTAGATAGTGGCAAGATTGAGATTTGTGTCTCTGACTGATGCCAACCAGACTGTCCTGGATCAATTCTCCGCTATGCCTGTTCCCATGCTGCAGTGGAGCAACAATGTCTGCTTTCAAGTCACGCACGTGTTCTCCAACATCGAGACGGGCATCTGATTTGTGTCTTTCAAACGCTGAGGCCAGGACACACAGTTCTGGGCTGGTCTCTATGAAGCCTGTGTGACCAATTGCAGTGTGGTTGTGTGGGCCCAGCCGTCTTAGTTGAAGGCTGTCCTTGCAAAACACCTTGACTGGTGCCTTCCAGGACCTGGGACCACTGGCCAGGACTTCTCATTAACCAAGGGCATGTACCTACCTCCTTGGCATCCTGGGTACTCCAGGATCCATTCAAGGGTCCTGCTGGGCCCCCTCTTCAGGATCTGGAAACTACTAAGAAAAAAAGTTATTTCTTCAGAGCTACCCACTGCTGTTTTGGGGCAGTCCTTCCCCTGTCGGTGAACACAGAGGAGTGCTGGTCTTACAGAGGGCTCTTGGTCCTCCCCCCGAAGACCCTCTGCCCTGTCTCCTCTCCATCCTGCTCTCAGGGGCTTTACCAGTCCCTTTAGAGAAGGCCTCTCCTCTCTGCAGCAGAATCCCATCCTTATGGCTAGGACAGTTCCAGCCACCTTGGGTGGCAAACTTAACCTCTTGTAGCTTCAAGACTGGGACCAGGTTTCCCATCTGAAAGTCCACCAGCTCAAAAAATGTTTGGAGATTTTCAAGGATCAACCTGTGATTGTATGGTGCATAAAATTATTTTTTATTTTGAATTTTTTCACAAACATTGAGAGAATAATATATCAGCAACAACTATCTGCCAATCATATATAATAATTTTATAATTTGGCCAAAAAATATAAATATGAAAGTATATTTTAATGATATGCTTTTTTGGTATTGATCCTTCAGAGGTTTTACTTCAGGTGTTAAAAATTAAATTACCTGACTGGAAGTAGGAAGGGGTACCATGTTTTTATGGAAGCTGTCAGAAACCAGTCTAACTTAAATATAGATTATGGAGTCATAGAGCATCATGGATAACCACTTCATTTTGATCTGAAGGAACTGCTGAATGTAGCTGTTTGATCAAAAGCTGTACATGTTTTTTACAAAACATTCTTACAATTGTATTCATTTTGAAAGAAGAACAATAGTAAGTTTTAGCTATATCTTTAGCCCTTTAATATGGATGGCGTCTGGTTTATGCATCTCACAAAATGAAAATAAAGGTGTACAAGCAAAAAAATAAATAAATAAAAGTGTACAAGCTATACAAGCAATAAATAAATAAATAAATAAAGGTGTACAAGCTAGAAAAGTTTGTTCTGACACTTACTTTTAAGCCAGTTTGGTGACTTGCTTGCTGGCCATCTGACTTGTACAGGATGGGCCCTTCTGGGAATGTCCTGTAATTATAAGTACCAACACTAACTGGATGGCCACAGTGTACTGCTTTTATCTGATTTGTTCTATACTTAAGCCTCTTATGACTAGCAAAGTAAGCCAAATCAATTCTGTGTGTGACACCTCGTGCCATTTAAGAAATACTGTCCTGTGCCACTTTTTCAGTGATGTGAAGATCAGTGTGATTTATATGATCTCAGAGCCACTCAGGAACAATTCTACTTTTTTGTGCTCAAGTGGAGTGATTGCAATATCATAATTTTTAAACCTAACTTGTTATCCAAAAGTGATGTCAACCTCTTGAGTCCTAAATAGTCCTCCTCTGAGGCTTGCCAGTTTCTCACCATCAAGTCCAAAGGCCTGATAATGGCTATGCCACCTGGCCCCTATTGGTTGGGCCTGCCACACTCTACTTGGCAGTGAAAAGGGAAGAGTTTCACATCAAAGCAGGAAATCCAGCCTTGTCTTTTATCTGCCTGTCTTATCCCATTGTGTATACTTGATTGGACTACTTCCTTAGCTATCAAATTGTAAGGGTGTAGTCAAGAAGTCTTCATGATGTGAGTTTCTCTTATTGCTGGAATGGTCTTACAGGTTCCTTTTTCACAGCTGAGCCATTATGTCATCAAGAAGTCTTTCCTTGTGGGTAAATTACCGTGACAGTTGAAAAAGGAGTCAAGCCTTTGAAGCAGCAGGGATGTTTGCAAGAAAGAACATTTGAAAAGAGTAGCCACATATTAATCATGTACTCCTCAAAATAAAAATATTTGAAGATCCTTATCCTGGGATGGAAAACACAACTAAGTTTTTCTCTACTTTCTTAGTGTCAAGACAGTAAAAGGTGTCATTTATGGAAATATGCCTTTTAAGATCTTAGTGAAGAAGAGAAAATTTATCTGGAGAAAGAAAGAAAATGTGGTAGGTGCTCTCAGATGGTGTCTCTCTCCTGAGGGGTGCGGACTGCAGCTGTTGGGCCTGGTGGTGGTCGCCTTGCCATTTGTCCTGGCTGTCGGTTACTGATCATTAGGCCCCAAGGTCACTGTTTCCCGATCAGAACATGCCAGGACTGCCTGGGCCCACTCTCTCATCTTTGCTGGGTTTGGACCAGGAGTTTGAAGGTGGTGCTTGCTGTGGGTATGAGTGTTTGTGGTTAGCTTCCCCAGAAACTCTGCCCAAAAGCTGAGGTTAGCCAAAGTGGCTTCCTTTTGATTTTCTTCCCTGCCCCTGCACTCTGCTCTTAAAAATTTTCAAACTTCTTCTGTCTTTGTAATTGCTACTATTTATTCAAGCCCAAGGTCATTTACTCCTTCTATAGTTAAATTCAGTTCATGAGACAGGCATTGATCAACTATGTGTAAGTTGCTTTGCCATTTGATGTGAGAAATACAAAGGTAAACAAGGTATGGTTTCTTTATTCAAAGAAATTATAGCCTAACCCAGAAGGACTTGTATATAAACATCATAGGATTCATTCGATTCTAAGAAATGGAAGCCTAGTTGAGCTAATTTAAATAAAAGTAGAAATTAATATAACAAACTGGTGGTTCGAGATGCCTGGATGGCTCAGTGGTTGAGCATCTACCTTTGGCTTAGGGCATGATCCCGGGGTCCTGGGTTCGAGTCCTGCATCAGACTCCCCATGGGAGCCTGCTTCTCCCTCTGCCTATGCCTCTGCCTTTCTCTGTGTGTCTCTCATGAATAAATAAATAAAATCTTAAAAAAAATTAAAATAAATAAAAATAAACTGGTGGTTCTCCTAAAACCCAGGGCAGGAAATGGATGGGGATCTCAGAACTAACAAGGTGGCAAAAGAATTGCAGCTTCTCTCTTAGCGATCCTGATAAGCCAGCTACCACATGCTATCTTTTCCATACCCTTTCTGCACATGAGCTGTATTATTTTGCATTCTCTACACAGCAGCCATCTTCCTGCTCAAAAGTATACATGATCCCCAAATTAGCACTGCCCGTCCTCTGCAGGTCACACACTGAAGTCTGGGTCACGATACAGTTATTTCTAGGGTAGAAAATCTTACTGTTCTAGCTTGGGACTGTTATTTGTCCTGATCAATAGTTTTAACCAGAGGTAGTAGTCCAGGGTCACATGGCCCACTGTCCAGGGGGGCAGGAAAGTGGGACTTGACCCTCTGGGAATGAGTGTGGATAAAGCAGACAGATTGAATGGCCTGTCTCTTTAGCTCTAGCTTTAGTGTGAAACAGAATATTGTAAATTCTGCCATTGGAATAAAGTAGTTTTCTGGAAGTTTAGAGGACATGGGCAAAGGGAGAAATCTGGGATTGTTTCTGGGAGAACAGAAGCCTCTTTGCTGAAAGATCACTCTGATTGAGTCCAGAGAGAACAGGAGAGGACGGAGCTGAAAGCAGGCAGTCCTAACAGGCTATTGTGTTAACATGGGGATGGGGGTGGGGAGAACCGGAAATAGATGAACTGTAATGAAGGCTGCAAAAGGAATGAAAAGATTCAGGGGAGGATGAGGAAGGTGAGTTCTCCTAGACCCATTGGAAATTGTCCGATTGGAGAAGGACAGAACCTTGGGTGAATGCGCAGGTGTCTGACTTGAGTGTTGGGGAGATGACAATGGCATTTAAACCCGGTGCACTGTGAGCAGTCTCCCCGGCTCCTGCTCTTCCCTTCTCTTATGCCTCATTGTTTCCCAGGCTGACTGTGTGTGTTGGTAGTTCCGGACGTTTGCACACTACACTTGCTTTCCCAGCAGTGGATTTCTCCTCTGTCTGCTGTTCGTTTAGTGAAAAACTCAACTTACTTGCTTACTTAGTTTCTTACTTTATTTATTTATTGAAAAACTCAACTTTAAACATAACTCCTTTGTCTACTTGAAAAATGTTCCCCGAGTTCTCCCTCATGGGTGCTCCCATAGTTTGTAATAATACTACCATTATTGTAGCTCTGGCTCATTTGTATTGTATTGCGTATGCAAGGTATTTACTTGGACATGAGTTCTTTTAGG